AATGTTCAAAGATTTCTTGTTAGAACGTTATTTAAAATCATGTGATACCTGTAAAGGATCATTTCACTACTGACAAGACTATTTCCTTTCCAGTGTCTACAGTATTAAAGACTACACAACATTATTTTGTCACGCTACGCTATTGAGGGAACACGCTGGAGTCACGAGGAAACGTTTAACAGTCTTTAATCAAGAAACACAGGAGATAATCCACAATGGGCGCTTGAGCCAACACACGTAGAGAACAAGTAGACCTGACAAACACAAACTGAACAGACTAGGACTTTTAAACACAGGGCAATCAGGTGAACACAGGTGACAATGGCACATAATCAAACTAAACTAGGACAGGAACTTGACCAAATAAGGCAAAACAGGAACTGAAACATGACAAAACAGGTCCAACCCTGACATTTCGCCCCTTCCGGAAGGTGTGTCCTCGCACCGTAGGCAACAACAGAGGGAGGCATAGGTGGGAGCTAGGGAGGAGGCTCATGAGGAGGACGGATACCCGGGAGGGGGCCAGCAAACAAAGACCAGGGAGGCGACGAAGGAGGGAGGAGCCAGGGAGGAGACAGGAGGGGCCCGGAGCAGGAGGAGCCAAGCAGGACCCAGGCAACAGCCATGATGGCGACCCACGGTGGAGCCGACAGAGGGAGGAGCCATGGAGGAGGAATGGCCGCCGACTCCAGGGGGCTGACCAAATGCGGCGGAGCAGGTGGTTGAGGAACCCGAGGCGGAGATGGAGAGCCAACAAGCCAGGGGGATGCCGAGGATCCGGGCGGCCAGGGTGGAGCCGAGGGCTCTGGCGACTGAGGCGGAGATCCGGAGATCCACAGTGGAGCCTGAGGTGATGGCGGGTCGACGCCCGACCAAGGCGGAGTCGGAGGGACGAGGGAGCCTGGTGGATTGATGGGTGACGGTGGAGGCGAGGGAGCTAGGAGCCGAGGTGGTGCCGTTGGGTCTATGGGTCGAGGCGGAGGAGAGGGATTCTCCAGCCATGGCGATGCTGGAGGATGGCATAGCCACGGTGCTCGCACCGTATTGATGGTGGGCTGAGGGCGAGCAGAGGGGCTGCCAGATAACAGCGGTGGAGGAGAAGGCAGGAGCGGGTGGGAGGGCTGGCATTTGTGAGTCTCCGGGCATTCAGGGCTTAACTCTGGATCGGAAGCCCCCTCTAGGCTGAACATTGGAACAGGATGAAGCTCAGGAGGAGCAGACACTTGAGGGCGCTTACGAGGAGCTGGCACTGGAGGGCTCTCTGGACTGGATTCAGGGACTGGAGCCCTCTCCACTTCGGTGTGGCACATTCGCCGCGCCATACTCAGCCGCGGTGCAGGGGTGGAGCTCCTCTCCGCGCTCACACCGTCTGCAGCTTTCTCCCTCGTGGCTGGCACTGTCGCCGGCTCTCGCACCTGGTCTGACGGATTCAGCTCTACGTCCGGGGCGATCCTCTGTTCAGTCGCTCTGCTTTGCGCTGGCTCGCTGATCGCGGCGGGAAATGGCTCCGCACAGCGGGGAGATGGTGGGCTGGGCTCTAGGTCCGGAGTGGATCTGGCAAAATCATCCTCGGGAGTGACGGTGAGAGGAGGCCCGTTTCTCGCCAGAATCCACTCCACAAATGCGCCGAAATCCTATCGAGGACCATCTTCGGACGACGGTGCTCTGCACTCGATGTTTAGACTGGCATCGTAGAACACACAGAGCGTGTCGTCCGGGTAGCTGGTGGTGCTTGCTAGCAGCTGGAACAGTCTAGTATGGTCCTCGAGAGCTTTGTCCCCCTGCTCCAGCAGGAGGAGGAGCCATTCGGGGCGAAGAAGGGCATCCATCCAGGGAACACAACGGAAAAAAAGATACTGGGAAAAACAAGAAAACAAACGGAGGGGAAAACACAGAGGTAACTGTTTTTGGGTCAGGTCTTCTGTCACGCTACGCTGTTGAGGGAACACGTTGGAGTCACGAGGAAACGTTTAACAGTCTTTAATCAAGAAACACAGGAGATAATCCACAATGGGAGCTTGAGCCAACACATGTAGAGAACGCTTAGACCTGACAAACACAAACTGAACAGACTAGGACACAGGGCAATCAGGGGAACACAGGTGACATCAATGGAACATAATCAAACTAAACGAGGAGAGGAACTTGACCAAATAAGGCAAAACAGGAACTGAAACACATGACAAAACAGGTCCAATCCTGACAATTAGATTGTATTATCTTTAAATTAATTTTTAAATGATTATTATTTTTAATTATTGTCCCTGAATCAGTAGGATACTCTTGTAATAAAGTAGCGGTGGCTGGCTGGGACAGATTTTAATATCAATTCTGCTTAAAAAGCTGCAATCTAATCCTGTTTACCAGAAATAAACCAGTTCCCGAGCAGGTTTAAGCTTACGGACCTGTTGCTATGACAGCAACTTCGGGATGAGCTTCGAAGAACCAACCAATCCAAGATCATGCCAAATCGTCAACAATCAAATCCAGCTAACTGAGTTAGCCAAGTATGAAGAATGGGCCTCTGCTCCCCGACAAAGGAAAAAATATATTACCCAGTTTGTGTGTTTGCAGTCTAAGTTGAATGTGATGAGATTTTAAGAGTAGCTCAAGAAAAATTATACAAAGAGGATAAGAAACACGTCTTTTGGCTGCATGCAAAAATACTGTGCTCAAACACAGCCTCATTCAGAACAGTCTAGTATGGTCCTCGAGAGCTTTGTCCCCCTGCTCCAGCAGGAGGAGGAGCCATTCGGGGCGAAGAAGGGCATCCATCCAGGGAACACAACGGAAAAAAAGATACTGGGAAAAACAAGAAAACAAACGGAGGGGAAAACACAGAGGTAACTGTTTTTGGGTCAGGTCTTCTGTCACGCTACGCTGTTGAGGGAACACGTTGGAGTCACGAGGAAACGTTTAACAGTCTTTAATCAAGAAACACAGGAGATAATCCACAATGGGAGCTTGAGCCAACACATGTAGAGAACGCTTAGACCTGACAAACACAAACTGAACAGACTAGGACACAGGGCAATCAGGGGAACACAGGTGACATCAATGGAACATAATCAAACTAAACGAGGAGAGGAACTTGACCAAATAAGGCAAAACAGGAACTGAAACACATGACAAAACAGGTCCAATCCTGACAATTAGATTGTATTATCTTTAAATACATTTTTAAATGATTATTATTTTTAATTATTGTCCCTGAATCAGTAGGATACTCTTGTAATAAAGTAGCGGTGGCTGGCTGGGACAGATTTTAATATCAATTCTGCTTAAAAAGCTGCAATCGAATCCTGTTTACCAGAAATAAACCTGTTCCCGAGCAGGTTTAAGCTTACGGACCTGTTGCTATGACAGCAACTTCGGGATGAGCTTCGAAGAACCAACCAATCCAAGATCATGCCAAATCGTCAACAATCAAATCCAGCTAACTGAGTTAGCGAAGTACGAAGAACGGGCCCCTGGTCTCGAAATATTAAATTAATTAACCACAATTCAGTTTGAGATTCCAGAAGTTTGAAGAGTCACATTTTTTTATTTAATATTTTCAATTTAATTTTCTATTTAATTTAATTAATATTTTCTTTTAAGTTATCCTGCGTCCTACTTGGGAATTGGCTGAGGCCCCCTAGTGGGTCCAAGCCCTCTGTGTATTTTAATTTTTTCCCCCAGTTTTCTATGTAAGAACCACTGACTTAGCGGTTAAAAACTTTGACAATCTTTCAATTTCAATCTTTCAATCTCCTATATGCCACAAATGCTGTATAATTCCAATCCTGCTTGCTTTTTTTTTCTTCTCATTTGTACTTTTCCCTCAAACCTTTGGTTTTGTCTGTATGTCTGACCCTATAGACTATCTAAGCAGTTCGTTTGCTCACTTACGCTCTACTTAAGTTTGAGGAATGAGGGGGCAGAGGCCAGCTGTCCCCCTCTCAAGGAGCTGGCCTGCTTGTTGCGTCTTTCACTCCTGTTCTGTAAGTCTCTCCTTTCCTGAGGTAAAAATAGCTAACGATGCAAACAGATGCACCAGCCGCTGTCCATCCACACACACTCACGTACATCCACTGAATGACAGAATCTTCTAGAAGAATAAGCGAAAAAATGCAGCACTTACAACATGAGTTCACAGTCAGCAACAATAAAAGCAGGACATGTCCCTGATTAGAGACATCGTCCCTCACTGAGTTGTTAGGCAGGCTATCAACTCCTTAAGCAGGTCAAAAGACATGTGGGCCACCATAAAAATAGTAAACTATATACAGGGTGAGAACCAGGCTTGCAAAAACGTCCATCAAAAATTGTACAAAAACATCACGGTAATAATTCAGCAAACCAGCCCAATGGATGAGACCAAAAGTGTGGATGGGGAAGTTCACAAAATATCTATTACAGTGCAATCACATTTACCATTATTTAATTGAAATCCAGTCATTTAAATAGGAATCTACAAGATCGGAAATTTCTTTGGAGATTTCCCTGTGCAGATTTTCCAAAGGGTTCAAGATGTTCAGGCAAATTTCAGAAAACTGCTTTGTTTGAAAGTATGTTCATACATCGCTACAAAAATTGAATTTTTTTGTATTTTTGCCCGTGAAATTTCACTAATGTTACAGTGGTTTAAGCGCCCGACAAATAAATGAGCATGCATTCTTAAAAACAAACAAACAGATCACCAATCACATGCAGGGACATTTCTAACACTTTAACAACATTAATGATGTAACCAAATGTTCACGATTGAGGGGGACCAGATAAAAAGTTTAAGAATCTTGCATTTTACTACTTAACCACTAGTCTAAATATTGAAAGGGAAACATGAGCACCCCCCTCAATGTCTATGTTGGCCCTGTATACACAAAAATACCCATAATGCACAGGCAAAAACTAGCTAAAACTCTTACATTGAGATATAACTTTGAGACTCCCCCCCAAAAAAGCATTATTATAAGTATTATCATGAAATCAAAATAGGTCAAGAAGGCATTACTTACCGTCCGTAGGAACTGTATCTCTTCATCTCCCCCCTCTCCCTCTGCCATCCTTCTCCGAGGGTTATTTGCAGCTCCTCAGGAGAAATCAGAAAATCCTTCTGTTTTCTCTTCAGTGTGTTTCAGTGTCTTCTCTCTCTCTGTCTCAGTGTGTGTGTGTGTGTGTGTGTGTGTGTGGGTTTGCTGGAGGACAGCATGAGTCCTGTAGCTCTCACAATGGAGTGAGAGAGAGTGACAGAAGATTCAGCGCTGCTTCTGTCTGTCTCTCTCTCTCTCTCTCTCTCTCTCTCTCTCAGTTTCCTTGCTCTCAGATCTTGTGGATGGTGCTCTACCTTCTTCCACATTCACACTGCAACCATATTTGCACAACTGGGCCACCCCCTTTGCCTAAAACTGAGGAGGCGAGGGAGCTAGGAGCCGAGGTGGTGCCGTTGGGTCTATGGGTCGAGGCGGAGGAGAGGGATTCTCCAGCCATGGCGATGCTGGAGGATGGCATAGCCACGGCGCTCGCACCGTATTGATGGTGGGCTGAGGGCGAGCAGAGGGGCTGCCAGATAACAGCGGTGGAGGAGAAGGCAGGAGCGGGTGGGAGGGCTGGCATTTGTGAGTCTCCGGGCATTCAGGGCTTAACTCTGGATCGGAAGCCCCCTCTAGGCTGAACATTGGAACAGGATGAAGCTCAGGAGGAGCAGACACTTGAGGGCGCTTACGAGGAGCTGGCACTGGAGGGCTCTCTGGACTGGATTCAGGGACTGGAGCCCTCTCCACTTCGGTGTGGCACATTCGCCGCGCCATACTCAGCCGCGGTGCAGGGGTGGAGCTCCTCTCCGCGCTCACACCGTCTGCAGCTTTCTCCCTCGTGGCTGGCACTGTCGCCGGCTCTCGCACCTGGTCTGACGGATTCAGCTCTACGTCCGGGGCGATCCTCTGTTCAGTCGCTCTGCTTTGCGCTGGCTCGCTGATCGCGGCGGGAAATGGCTCCGCACAGCGGGGAGATGGTGGGCTGGGCTCTAGGTCCGGAGTGGATCTGGCAAAATCATCCTCGGGAGTGACGGTGAGAGGAGGCCCGTTTCTCGCCAGAATCCACTCCACAAATGCGCCGAAATCCTATCGAGGACCATCTTCGGACGACGGTGCTCTGCACTCGATGTTTAGACTGGCATCGTAGAACACACAGAGCGTGTCGTCCGGGTAGCTGGTGGTGCTTGCTAGCAGCTGGAACAGTCTAGTATGGTCCTCGAGAGCTTTGTCCCCCTGCTCCAGCAGGAGGAGGAGCCATTCGGGGCGAAGAAGGGCATCCATCCAGGGAACACAACGGAAAAAAAGATACTGGGAAAAACAAGAAAACAAACGGAGGGGAAAACACAGAGGTAACTGTTTTTGGGTCAGGTCTTCTGTCACGCTACGCTGTTGAGGGAACACGTTGGAGTCACGAGGAAACGTTTAACAGTCTTTAATCAAGAAACACAGGAGATAATACACAATCGGAGCTTGCGACAACACAAAGACCTGACAAACACAAACTGAACAGACTAGGACACAGGGCAATCAGGGGAACACAGGTGACATCAATGGAACATAATCAAACTAAACGAGGAGAGGAACTTGACCAAATAAGGCAAAACAGGAACTGAAACACATGACAAAACAGGTCCAATCCTGACAATTAGATTGTATTATCTTTAAATACATTTTTAAATGATTATTATTTTTAATTATTGTCCCTGAATCAGTAGGATACTCTTGTAATAAAGTAGCGGTGGCTGGCTGGGACAGATTTTAATATCAATTCTGCTTAAAAAGCTGCAATCGAATCCTGTTTACCAGAAATAAACCTGTTCCCGAGCAGGTTTAAGCTTACGGACCTGTTGCTATGACAGCAACTTCGGGATGAGCTTCGAAGAACCAACCAATCCAAGATCATGCCAAATCGTCAACAATCAAATCCAGCTAACTGAGTTAGCGACGTACGAAGAACGGGCCCCTGGTCTTGAAATATTAAATTAATTAACCACAATTCAGTTTGAGATTCCAGAAGTTTGAAGAGTCACATTTTTTTATTTAATATTTTCAATTTAATTTTCAATTTAATTTAATTAATATTTTCTTTTAAGTTATCCTGCGTCCTACTTGGGAATTGGCTGAGGCCCCCTAGTGGGTCCAAGCCCTCTGTGTATTTAAATTTTTTTCCCCAGTTTTCTATGTAAGAACCACTGACTTAGCGGTTAAAAACTTTGACAATCTTTCAATTTCAATCTTTCAATCTCCTATATGCCACAAATGCTGTATAATTCCAATCCTGCTTGCTTTTTTTTTCTTCTCATTTGTACTTTTCCCTCAAACCTTTGGTTTTGTCTGTATGTCTGACCCTATAGACTATCTAAGCAGTTCGTTTGCTCACTTACGCTCTACTTAAGTTTGAGGAATGAGGGGGCAGAGGCCAGCTGTCCCCCTCTCAAGGAGCTGGCCTGCTTGTTGCGTCTTTCACTCCTGTTCTGTAAGTCTCTCCTTTCCTGAGGTAAAAATAGCTAACGATGCAAACAGATGCACCAGCCGCTGTCCATCCACACACACTCACGTACATCCACTGAATGACAGAATCTTCTAGAAGAATAAGCGAAAAAATGCAGCACTTACAACATGAGTTCACAGTCAGCAACAATAAAAGCAGGACATGTCCCTGATTAGAGACATCGTCCCTCACTGAGTTGTTAGGCAGGCTATCAACTCCTTAAGCAGGTCAAAAGACATGTGGGCCACCATAAAAATAGTAAACTATATACAGGGTGAGAACCAGGCTTGCAAAAACGTCCATCAAAAATTGTACAAAAACATCACGGTAATAATTCAGCAAACCAGCCCAATGGATGAGACCAAAAGTGTGGATGGGGAAGTTCACAAAATATCTATTACAGTGCAATCACATTTACCATTATTTAATTGAAATCCAGTCATTTAAATAGGAATCTACAAGATCGGAAATTTCTTTGGAGATTTCCCTGTGCAGATTTTCCAAAGGGTTCAAGATGTTCAGGCAAATTTCAGAAAACTGCTTTGTTTGAAAGTATGTTCATACATCGCAACAAAAATTGAAATGTTTTGTATTTTTGCCCGTGAAATTTCACTAATGTTACAGTGGTTTAAGCGCCTGACAAATAAATGAGCGTGCATTCTTAAAAACAAACAAACAGATCACCAATCACATGCAGGGACATTTCTAACACTTTAACAACATTAATGATGTAACCAAATGTTCACGATTGAGGGGGACCAGATAAAAAGTTTAAGAATCTTGCATTTTACTACTTAACCACTAGTCTAAATATTGAAAGGGAAACATGAGCACCCCCCTCAATGTCTATGTTGGCCCTGTATACACAAAAATACCCATAATGCACAGGCAAAAACTAGCTAAAACTCTTACATTGAGATATAACTTTGAGACTCCCCCCCAAAAAAGCATTATTATAAGTATTATCATGAAATCAAAATAGGTCAAGAAGGCATTACTTACCGTCCGTAGGAACTGTATCTCTTCATCTCCCCCCTCTCCCTCTGCCATCCTTCTCCGAGGGTTATTTGCAGCTCCTCAGGAGAAATCAGAAAATCCTTCCGTTTTCTCTTCAGTGTGTTTCAGTGTATTCTCTCTCTCTTTCTCAGTGTGTGTGTGTGGGTGTGCTGGAGGACAGTATGAGTCCTGTAGCTCTCTCACGATGGAGTGAGAGAGAGTGACAGAAGATTCAGCGCTGCTCCTGTCTCTCTCTCTCTCTCTCTCTCTCTCTCTCTCTCTCCCTCAGCTTCCTTGCTCTCAGATCCTGTGGATGGTGCTCTACCTTCTTACACATTCACACCGCAACCATATTTGCACAACTGGGCCACCCCCTTTGCCTAAAACTGATCCTCCCACAGGTCTAATGAGCTATAAATGGAAAATGTGCTTGTGTGTGATGATGTCTGGCAGAAGACACTAAGACACACACGCGCATACTAGCCATATGAGAAGCTTGAATTACATCAGAATAAATCAAATAATGACATTTGTTTAGTTTGTAGAACTTGTGATATTTTTTGACAATATTTGTGCAAAACACACAGTAAACAGCTTGAACACAGTGGAGTCCTAATGTGAGCTGAACACAGCCAGATATATTGGGTACTTATGTGTGCTCAGCACGCGCTGTGACTGAAACAGAATACAGACAGCGAATTAACAGCTAGACCGAATTAAATTTATTTCAGACACTGCATTTGCATATGAATGTTCTGTTAGTATATATATATATATATATATGTATGTGTGTGTGTGTGTGTGTGTGTGTGTGTGTGTGTGTTCTGCATTTATTGATATAACAGCAATTATATTTAAATCGATTAATAATATACACATATAGTTTAATAAATATAATATACATTTTATACAATTACATAAAATGCATAAATAGTATATAACTGTATAAAAATAATTCATAATAAAATAACATTTATGGAAAAAAATTATTGGGAACAATTAGGATGCAAATGATTAGAACACAAAAGGCTATGTGCAGAATGAGGCAATTTTTTTTTCAAAATGTGGGTGCTGGAGAAGTACAATTTCTTTTTGGTATAATGCTGAAGCATTACTTTTATCTGCTTAACCTTCATTTGGAAATACAAGAGTGGTATAAATTATGAAATGACATTAAATTATACTATATACTGTATAAACATCACATTTAAATGATAAGACTCTGGAACAGGAATGTAAGTGATAAAAGTAAAATCAACACAACAGTGCAACAGGGAACTGAACCAGCAGGCCAATTAAACAAAACAATCAATTAGATAGATAGATAGATAGATAGATAGATAGATAGATAGATAGATAGATAGATAGATAGATAGATAGATAGATAGATAGAGATATGTGCAGCAGATGTACAGATGGATAGACAGACAAGGTATGTATATTTTCAATCATATATTTTCCTGTTCTGCATCCACAGACACACACAGAGACCACCAGTCGGTTAGACAGTCTGACAACTGCATAAGCAACACACCCCTAAAATTACTCCAGGAAAATACAGCCAACGTGCTGCACCCAACCACACACACTATCACACACACACTCTCTCAAACAGGCCACAAACACATACAAAGATGACAGCTGGCATCACTCCTCACCTCCAAAATCTCCATCTAAGTGTCATCTCTGAGCGTGTCCCTCCGCTCTCCTATGTCCACCTGCAACTACATCTGAGTATGGAGTAAGAAGGATGCTGATGGATTTTTGGGGTGTCTTCTTGGCAGCCGAGGGCTAAACGTCAGAGAGCATGCTCAGACAGCACGTAATGAAGACTGGGAAGCCGAGTGCATTCGCTCAGGTTTGCTGCGTACTACACTGTAGTCGTGTGAAGTGACCGATAGATGGCGTCGTAGCATCTCACAAACTCACTACGGAAATAACATTGAAGCTAGAACTATTTGCAGTATCAACTATAGGCCTATTTAAATGTGAGATAATGTATTAGGTTACTATAGTGAGTAACACTAACTTAAACTACCATTTAATAAACCACTGCCCGATGGTATTTATATTCTGTAGTCGACTTGCCAGCTTCATGACGTGTTTTTAAATGAAAAGCGGGAAAATCGATCTATCTATCTATTTTTGACTGGTCGCCATTTATTTATTGAAGTGTTTCACCTTGTAGCTGTTTTTCCTCATCACTTGAACAGTTCTAATCAGTTGTATTAGTGTATTATATTTAAAATGGGATATAATATAATACATTATGTGAGCTCTTTAAAACTGTGAATAAATCATATAAATATTTACAAGAATGTTTGCCAAGTTACCACAGATTTTGCCATAGCAATAACCATAGTAACAATGGTATTTTGGTGGAAACGATGGTTACCATATGGTCATTTTGTGTTCTGAATGACCTAACAGATGAAGCAATCAACAGCCTGTTAAGGCTCAATAGAACCCGTTTCTAGTTAAAGTCATTGAGTAAACTGAAGGGACAATTCAGTTTAATTTCTATTAACACCGTAGTAATTTGAAACACTAAAAAAGGCAGACGATGTGTGCCGATGTGGTTTCTTCAGTTATGCAATCACAATTGCAGAATTTGCAGCAGGAAATTTACTGAAGATGACATGGTCGAGCAAGAAAAAAAATATTTACAGGCGAATACAAGTCTAGCTTCGCCTGTTACTGACAAAAACACCATCTTCTCTCAGAAATAACTCTGTACAATAAGTTCTTCTTGCTATGTGAAAGTTTTAGATTAGCTTAACTATTTTGAGGAAGTAAACAAAGGTGGAGTGATGAGCAAGTGCCCTTTTGCAAGTTCATTTGTGGTGGAAAAAAACGTCAGAAAAAACACAACAGCAACTGCAACAAACCAGACATATCTGTGTCTCCTTTAATACAGAACAGGCGGCCCACATTTCACAGAATTGATATTCTAGGTGTCATTCTGAAAGATGGCAGTTGATTCATTCACACCCATCCATCAACCGACAGAAGCCCCCCTCATCTGGGCTTGTATGAGAATCCCACCTCTGTGTGAAAACACACTCACACACACACACACACACACACACACGCACACACACACAGCCACAGGTTCCCACAGAGTTTGCATGCAGACGCACGCACACACATGCAGCAGTCTTTCCTATCATCTCCCCTCTCCTCCATCCTCAACAAGGCATCCTTTCAGTGTCCCGCTCCAGCTGCACGTGGAGGGATTCAACCCTGGAGACACTACCTTACTGTTAAAGAGAGAAAAAGAAGGGATGAAGACTATTAAAAACAGACCCAAGGCTAACAAATGAACAGATACAGCAGGTACAGACACGCAGCTATTACTTATGACACCTTGTACGCAGAAATTCATGGAAAATACAACCGAAGTCTCACTCATTTACCTATAGCCTAAAGGCAAGGAACTGGTACAGACTAAAACAAAGCTGAAATATGTGTAAAAACACACATGTGGGAAGCTAATGAGAACAAACTTTGGTCTTTTGGGACTAATTTCTCATTGTGATGTCTGTTTGGACACTGTCAGTTTTCAATCGGCCTTTCAATGATTTTTAATTCGTATTACGTACTCTCACACTCTTTCAAAAGAGCTCAATCCCACCCTCTCTTCTCTCTCGCTCACTTTTTCCCCTCCCTCTGTCACACATGCACACAGATGACAGTTCCCCTATCTGTCAGAGCCAATGCCTGTATTTCAAATAGGGACTTGTTTGTATTGAATGCAGTTAGTTGTTTGTTGTGATCATGCTGATTTTGACAACCTTTTGAGCCTAGAGTTCAAATTTTTTCTTTATTTTTAATGCCCTATCGTCGAATAGGGGTTCTTTTATTTATTGTTTTGGTTAACTCTGTGCCCTGTGGTTCACGTTCTCTGGTGATATTCAGAGAAAAAGAAAAGAGGGGGTGTGTGAGAGCGAGTGAGTGAAAGAGAAAGAAAGAAAGAGAGAGCGAGAGAGAGAGAGAGAGAGAAAGCTCAGAGCCACAGCAGCTGGTTTTCAGGTTTTAAGTTTTCAGAGCCGTGACTGAAGAGCCACTGTACGTCCTAGCCTGTAAGAGGTCACTTAGTACCTCTGGCTGGGGGAGAGAGACTGCAAGATACCCGATGGGGCAAGAAAAGGTTTAAGCAGCCTGGGGGACACCAAAAGGACACCGGTAGACACCATGAATCGCAAGGAGTCAAAGAGGTACATACTTTTGACTGTCTTTTAAATTCTGACTGTGCTTTGACAGGTCTCCATGCTCTTTAGAATTGATTTGATGTCACCTCAATGCAAAAATCTGCTTTAGTTCTTCGTGTCACTGGGTTTAATGCTCATTTGAGGTTTGATAAGTCTGTCTGTGCCTCATTTTGCAGTGCACTGTACTGATCACTGTGGTTATCTGACAAAGCTGTGGTTTCTCCATGTTCTTCAGAACATTGTGTTTGGGTTTCAGTTCTCTGCGAGAGAGACAGGCTAGTCACTCTCAAAACGGCTCAAACTGCACATTCATCATTCAGACTCTCCCGTTGGGGCTCAGACTAGGTTTGCATTTGCAAGATTGTGTAGATTCACATGTGTATGCTGTGAAGTAGCAGTGGTGCTTGTCTCTGATCTTTAAGAGGGGATTTCGCACTAGGGAGATGAATTGCTTTTGACCTAGTTATTCTCCTGTGACCTGTTGTGGATAGAGGTATGTTCGCTCGCTGTGTTTACAGTACATAAGAGGCATTAGCAGGAACATAATGGTTGGTGCTGGGAAGAAACATTGCTAGTGTCAACTCATTTAAAACTTAATCAGTGAGTTATCCAACGCTACATATGGAGTCAGATTTTAATATATGTGATAATATATATGATAGGCTACATACAAACTCTGCCTGTCCATAATTACTGGTATAACGAGATAAATGACATAAAGCTACACGAGAAGGGTAGAATCGATAGTTCTGACTAGGAGCTTTTGGGGGCGTCTGTTTTGTGCATGTTATCTCAGAGGTCTTATCTGATTGCTTGGAAATGACAAAGTTAGCAGCGACTACAGTGATGCTATCAGCATATTACAGTCTAGTTACAGCAAGTTTTTGCAAGCATGTAATATTTGATATTTCATATTCAGAATTTAAATATAATGAAATGTTGACTATTAAACGTATGATATATATTATAATATGTGCCCATATATATATATATGTGTGTGTGTGTGTGTGTGTGTGTGTGTGTAGCCTATACATAAATGTATGAAAGTATTACTATATATTAAACACATTTACTGTAAAGTATACATTTATAATAATTTATAATACATTTATTTAATATATACTTTATTTATATATTAAATTCATATATAAATATGTGTGTGTATATAATTGTATGTATATATGTATATATATATATACAATTTGATTTATAATACATTATATATAAATACATTTATTTAATACTTAACATGTATGTAGTGTTATATATAAGATTAATGTTATATATAGTAATATACAGTAAATAGTTTAAAATATAGTTTAGAACAAATGTATTTAAATTCATTTAAAATTTATTAAAAATTCATACATATGAATAGCAGTATTTGTCAAATATGTATATTTTGTTGTCATGTCTGACATCTATAGGTACATGGAGCAGAGATGGAGCGGAGACTAATGGAGGAAGAGATAGAGTGATGGTAGGCGACAAACAAGGCCTTCAAAGGGCTCTGGCATCAATTAATCAATTAACGAGAGAAAGGGAGGAATTTGCATGTTCCCTGACTGTGTGTGTGTGTGTGTGTGTGTGTGTGTTTGTGTGTGTGTGTGTGTGTGTGTTTTAGTGCAGAGAGAAAAAAGAAAAAGAGGGAGATGAGGAGAAAGCAGGAGGCATGAGGAAGAAGGTTGGGGGGTAGGGTAATGGAGCTGGAGATGTAGCCAGGAACTGGGAGTAAAACACTGGCTACTGTGGCAGGGAAGGGGTAGGGGGGTGTTGGGGGGGTTTCCAAAGAGAAAGGAGAAGTTGTTTTCTGAATGACATGAATAGAGCAAAGGCTGCAGGAGGAGAGGAAGAGAAAGTGAGTGAGTAGGTGCTATGCATGGCCGAAACGCTCATACACTGTATGATTGCAAATGTTTCACTGGATTATGATACTGAATGCCAGGGTGTCATGTGCGGATGCAAACAAACCACACTGTTGCTCAAAAAATCTTAAGTTCATTGCGCTAAAAACAGCACACGTAGTTTTTTTCACATGAATATTTGTTGTAAAAAGAATCAAGGTTATACAGGTGCGTCTCAATAAATTAGAATGTCGTGGAAAAGTTCATTTATTTCAGTAATTCAACTCATATTGTGAAACTCGTGTATTAAATAAATTCAATGCACACAGACTGAAGTAGTTTAAGTCTTTGGTTCTTTTAATTGTGATGATTTTGGCTCACATTTAACAAAAACCCACCAATTCACTATCTCAACAAATTAGAATATGGTGACATGCCAATCAGCTAATCAACTCAAAACACCTGCAAAGTTTTCCTGAGCCTTCAAAATGGTTTCTCAGTTTGGTTCACTAGGCTACACAATCATGGGGAAGACTGCTGATCTGACAGTTGTCTAGAAGACAATCATTGACACCCTTCACAAGGAGGGTAAGCCACAAACATTCATTGCCAAAGAAGCTGGCTGTTCACAGAGTGCTGTATCCAAGCATGTTAACAGAAAGTTGAGTGGAAGGAAAAAGTGTGGAAGAAAAAGATGCACAACCAACCGAGAGAACCGCAGCCTTATGAGGATTGTCAAGCAAAATCGATTCAAGAATTTGAGTGAACTTCACAAGGAATGGACTGAGGCTGGGGTCAAGTCATCAAGAGCCACCACACACAGACGTGTCAAGGAATTTGGCTACAGTTGTCATATTCCTCTTGTTAAGCCACTACTGATCCACAGACAACGTTAGAAGCGTCTAAGGAGCTAAGGAGAAGAAGAACTGGACTGTTGCCCAGTGGTCCAAAGTCCTCTTTTCAGATGAGAGCAAGTTTTGCATTTCATTTGGAAACCAAAGTCCTAGAGTCTGGAGGAAGGGTGGAGAAGCTCATAACCCAAGTTGCTTGAAATCCAGTTGCTTTAAGTTTCCACAGTCTGTGATGATTTGAGGTGCAATGTAAAGACTTAAACTACTTCAGTCTGTGTGCGTTGAATTTATTTAATACACAAGTTTCACAATTTGAGTTGAATTACTGAAATAAATGAACTTTTCCACGACATTCTAATTTATTGAGATGCACCTGTATATACTGTATATATGATCATTAGATCAACAGATGTTTAATTATTTATTTTCGACCAAAATCCAAACTACGGAAGCCTGTTTTTGCCTATGTGTTCACATTTGTTTTGCGAAATTTATTTTGGAGTCTTGTGTGAGGGCGATAAAGTTTCCCATGCAGATTTCGCTCATGTTCAAGTTGGTCATGCAAGTTCACCATGTTGACCAACAGAAAGCTGCTTGGTTTGAAAGTGACCTTTTTGTCCGCTAAGTTTCTCTGAAATATCACTAATGTGACCTCACCTTCAAAGTAAAAATTAAAACACATAATTATGCGATTGTTTAAAAAAAAAAAAAAAAAAAAATTACCAGATGTAAGTCACAATTGTGTGATATGTAACCACAACACTAAAGACTGGAATACACTACATGACTTAAAAAAAACTGAAGAGATTTAAAAATATTAGCATCACACACTTGTTGACTGTAAATAGTTACAGAGGAAAAACTGTACGATGGAGGATCACACACTACCAGACCAAGTTGTTCCAAAAATAATAAACTCTCACGGAAACACGTGCCTTGTTGCTAGGAGAAACGTGACAAATGAAAACATGTTTTCAAAAATTCTCTCAAAATATCAAACATGTTGATATCCTCTGACAGGATGAAGCTAAAAAAAATGGAGTCTTTGCCCATTATGCAATTTTCTTAGAAAGCTGTAAACTCAAATCTGCAGACTGGCTTTTTACAAAGTCTTATATCCCACCCAGTCATATCTTATATTCAAGTCACAATATAAGATATAAAGTTGCAACTGAGAAATATAAAATCACAATTACGAGAATTTTTAAAACAGGTTGGGTTTTTGACTTATCATTATTGTATCGTGACCCAAATATCGAAATCACCAGATCCTAGCTGATTCCACGCTGCATATAAATTTGCATAGACTTGCTTACAAATTCATTTACATTAACCAAGAGCATTTTCCCTCATTTGTTTACTGTAGGCCTATGCGCGAGTCTGTATCCATGTGCATGCGTGCTCTTCTCAGGCCTGAGAGGGCTGCAGAGTGTGTATTGTCATCAGCTGTAGAGCAGATTGATGCAAATAAGCGAGAGAGAGAGATATGAAAATACGATGGGGAATTTGCATATTGAAGTCGTGTTTAATATTCGGCCTGTCAGAAATAGAAAGAACCGAAGAGAAGGAAATATAAGATGTATTTTATGAAGGCCATGTAAAAAATGTCTGCCTGGTCTACAAACTTCAACCGAAGTGAATTTACACTCTTGTCTGGAGTGTGTATTTGCGTGGGCCTGATTTAGTGGTTAGGTGTTTGGTTTGCTTAATGAGGTGAGAAGGTAAACGTCAGTGTGTCTGTGCGTGGAGAGAATTGAGAACGAGTGTGCTGAACTGGACACTGGTGCAGGAGGAAGGGAGAGAGTGCGGTTAGGAGGGGTTTGGACGTTCTAAGAAGTCATCTCTACTTCTCTGCAGTCACGGCCAGCTTCCTGTTCATGTCACTGCCGTCACAGACCACAGTGTTTCTTGCTGATGCTGTCACAGACACAACTCGATGCCCAAGTCAGAAAAACACACCTTTAAATTTGGCATTATGCTTCATACATCTAAATTACGCAGCAGCTGTGAGTTTTACAGACTGTTACCCTGATGTACAATGTTGTTGTTCTCTTTGTGTGACTGACAAAATACAGAGTAAAGCAGTGAGACAGTGAATTGCTTATCTACACTTTCTGACTGTCTCTCTTCCTGTGACATTGAAGGCCTGAATAGTGACACCTACTGTATAGAGTGGCAGATATCAACACACAACCTTACATATAAACATCAACATACCTGATCTACCGGTGGGGCTTGCAGGGCGCAAACAGTCGCACATGTACACAGGTCTGTGCTGCAGACTTCAAGGGGAACCCGTCGCTCTCAGGTATAATGTCAAAGGCTTCAGGGGATGTAAAAAAGGATGTTAGAGCAGATCTAAATGATATTTCCTTTCAAATCTGAAGTAAATGTACCTACAGGTTTTAATCTGAACAACTGACCCTTCGCAAAGACCCGCCCTCCTTAGTTACTGTTGCTATGTCCGACTTGTTATAGCATGAAATAAACATGAATGAACATCAGAAGGTATTTTATTTCTGTAACTGTGGAAAGACATAATTTTTTCAAGTTCGAGTCCACCAATGGTAATCTACTCTCCTGTCTGATTTGTTTGTCGGACAAAAATGGTAGATTCTGCGTTATGATTGGTCAGATCGCCTATCAATCAAACACCCTGTGCTCGCTTGTGTGAAACTCACAGCAAAAGTGCTAAATTGGTTACCAGGGTTTTGCTATTCAGTCACTTTTAAGGTCTTCTGAGAGGGCTTTAGCATAGTGCCATTGCTAGGTTTTTTGGCAGGTTGCTAGGGCAGTTCTAAGTGGTTGCTAATGTGTTTCTAAGCAGTTGCTGGAGTGCTGTGGCTGTTTATTTGAGCGTTTCTAAGTGGTTACTAGGGTTAAAATGCGTGGTTGTTAGGGCATTTCTGGATGGTTTCTAGGGTGTTTCTAAGTGGTTGTTAAGGCATTTCTAAGTAGTTTTTGGGGTGTAATGACAGTTTACTAGGGTGTTTCTAAGAGCATATTACAGCGCATATTAGTAACCACTTAGAAACACCCTAGAAACCACTCAGAATACCGTAGTAACCACTTAAAAACACCCTAATAAACTGCCAGACCACACTAACAACTATTAGGGTGTTTCTAAGTAGTTGCTAGGGTGTTCTGGCTGATTGCTATAGGGTATTTATAATTGATTCCTAAGGTGTTCTGAATGGTTGCTAGGACCTTTCAATTACTAGGGCATATCTAAGTAGTCATTGGTGTGTTTTAACAGTTTACTAAGGTGTTGGGATGTTTTGGCTGGATGCTCAGACTTTTCTAAGTACAATAGTGTATGTTTTAGCTGGTTGTTACGGCATTTCAGATGTTTACTAATTGGTCCAAGTCAAAAGGGCCATGTCTCAAGTCTCTACGATATTCTCGCCCTTAAATATGACTTGCCTCTCTCCTACAGTAGTAGTCTATGACCATTTTTATGATGTCTGGCATGTGAAACCTTATGTCAAATCTGTGAGAAAAGTAACTGGACAGACGTGTGGTAACACTTAGGGGATGATTTTTAGCAAAACAGAGCATTTCTCATGACCAGATCTTAACAGCTTTACATATAACCTATGACATGCAAACATTATCAAAGCCCAACTAATCACAGCTGTGGTTTTCTGTGCAATATTAAAGGGATAGTTCACCCAAAAATGACAATTCTGTTATAATTTAAACATAACATGTTGTTCTAAATCTGTATGAGTTTCTTTCTTCTGCTGAACACAAAAGAAGATATTTTGAAGAATGTGTGTAACCGAACAGGTGACGGTAGCCATTGATATGGGGAAAAAATACAATTGAAGTCACTAGCAACTTTTCGGTTACCCACATTATTCAAAATACCGTCTTTTGTGTTCAACAGAAATAGTAAACTCATACAGATTTGGAAAAACTTGAGGGTGAGTAAATGAGGACAGAATGTTCTTTTTTTGGCTGAACTGTCACTTTAAAGAACCACAGGTGAAGTCTTCATCACCAACATCGCAAATATTAAATGGATCAAAATGCTGCTTAGCCTGGTAAAGACAAGCGGTTACTGCGAAAAGTCTGTGGTCTGACAAGTGGCTAAAACTAGGTAAACTGTCTGTTGCTATGGATACTTTGTTTCGTTTATTTGTGAGAGCCAATTTGAATAAATGCTGGTATCCATGCCCCACTTATACGGTTGATCACATTGGTTGTTTGAATACATCTGTACATTGTTGGGACTGGGTTGAGTATTTCAGCAGCATCAAGCCCCAAAACTCTATTTTTTTTGTGTGTCTCCAGCAGCAGGAAGTCCCGACAGGAAGGAGGAAGTGTGATAAAGAGCAGAAGACCAGTGCAGAGGAGGATGACATGCCCCAGTCCTCAAGAGATCAGCCGGGCTCTTCAAAGTCCACCGGCTCATTCTTCTTTCCGCTCTGCCAGCCTGGATGAACTCATCCTCCGCTGCCTCCACTGCTTCGGTCAGTGTTCAACTCGTCTCTATCTGCCTATCAATAAGCCCCACCCTACATGACAACCATTTACATCAGTCAGGTCCTGTTTTCATGAAGAAAACATCACCAAATATTGACTTCCAGGTAGTTAAAAGAAGGACAGCTTACATCACAAGTCACAACATAAAGTCCTAGATCTCCCACATTCCACTTTCCTAGGGTTCTCAGCCTTGTCTCTGGCCTCATGTGCCCATCATTCCCAGTCTCCATGTGCCAGCCGGATTATGTAAGGCTGCCGAGTAGTGTGAGGGACAGAGGGACAGCAGCTCTTGTCAAAGAGAGAGAGAGAGAGAGAAAGAGAAACAGAGAGAAATCTTTTGGTTTACTAGCATTCAGGGCCTGGGAATGTGTTTGTCTCTCTATGCTAATGAGACAAAGCCTGATTGTGCGCCTCAGTTTCACAGGCCTACCCTCTCTCCCTCATTTGTTTTTTAATCATCCCCTTATGCCTTTTTTATTTGAAATGTGCTTAAGTATTTGGACTTGTAATACACAATGCAGTTGTAGCATATTGGTTGTTGGCTGATATTAAAGAGTTTTTCATTCATAAATATCAGTCAGTACTTCATATTTACCCTATTTTATCATTTAAATGACCTTTTCCTAATACTCACTTCAAAGATAATTGAATATTAATCTTTAGCAAATCTTACAATGAATAACCATTTTCCCACTGTACATTATAATGTTGTGATACCTAAATTCACATGTGGAAACACATGGTTTTAGCTTTTAGTGTTTCATTTTTTTTTAGATAAAATAGTATTGATTTTTACTGACCTCTGACAAGAAAGGGAACAAGTCGAAACAGAGAGAGAGAGAGAGAAAGAAGTGATTTTTAATATCGGCAATTTATCAGCCACAACATTAAAATAACATTAAACTTGTCCTGCACTACTTCTGCTAAGGATGAATGATTTCTAAACACATGCAGTCCCTAGTAAAAAAGTAATATGTTTAAAATATATTTATTTAAAGTACTAAGTATATAGTTAAGTATAGTACTAAGTATATAGTTCAAATATATTAACATGTTTACTGACATATCACTCGAAACTTACTGTTCTAAAAACTATTATTCAACTTTATTTGGAGTACTAATGGTGCACAATGTACATTTCTTAATATAAAGCCTAAAATGTGTTTTAATGTCACTGCTGATGAGGATTAATTATGATCTTTGAATAATATCAGTCTTTATATGCAAGATATTTAAAGTGTACCTAAAGGATACTTGCAATAGTTCCACTTTAGCACAATCAAATATACTTCAGTATATCTTTAGTTGGAATTCAGCACAACTTCTGCACTATTAAAGTGCATTAAGTACAATATTAGTTTTTCCAATTTAGCAGACTTTAAGTATACCAGTTTAGTAAAACAAAAGTACAATTGCAGGATATTTTTATTAAGTACATAAATATGTAGTAGTACTAGTATGCTTAGCATGAAATAAATATATCGTTCGTTCGTTTATTTATTTATATAGCACCTTACAGGCTACACAGTAGCTCCAAAGTGCTGTACATTACAAAGGAAAGCAGAAGGACAATGAGACAAACAAGAAAACATCAATATACCAAAAGCCAGAGAATACAAATACGATTTTAAATGATCCTTAAAAGCAATTAAGAGTCAAAGAAGATCTAACATCCAATGGCAGATTGTTCGACAGCCTTGGGCCAGCGATAGAGAAAGCACGATCACCCTTCAATTTGAGACGCGCTCGGGGAATTGTTAAGAGAAACTTGTTCGATGATCTTAATATTACACCTGGACTGCAGGGCTTAATAAGCTCAACTATGTATTCTGGCACCATTCCATGGAGTGTTTTAAAAACATTTATCAAAATCTTACACTGTATCCTAAATTGTACTGGTAGCCATCCTAAAGATGCTAACAAGGGAGTAACATGATCAGCTTATAGCATTCATTATCATCCTTGCAGCAGCATTTTGTACCAGCTGCATATTGCGAGCAACATATGTTTGGCATATGTTTCAAATACATTTTAGAATATTCATTGTTCACTCAGAGCATAGTGAGGAGAAGTGTGTTTTTACTTTTTTAAGTGATCAGATGTGTGATTTTTTAGCTGGCGGACAATATAACAAGAAATAAAATTATATTGAAGGAGCACTCCAAGCCATACGTATGAAGGACAATATAGACATAGACTTGAAGCTGGGCTCATCTGATTAGAAATCCCCAAGAAACATAGCATAGCAGCACAGTAACACACACATATAAATGTTGTAGAATCCATCTTGTATCTAAATCGAAATATTTTGTTTTTTAGACTCAGATGGGAAGCTGATCAGAGGGACACAGCTGGTCCATATGGCCCTGATGATGCATAACTGGGTCGTACCATCACACATCTTCGTCCAAAAGCTGCTTTCTCTATATCCTCTTCAAGCCCCACTGCTAATATTTTACTTTGACCTGAACCTTAATTGAAAAATATTGATTTATGCAACTGATCCCAGAACAGCTGAGAGTCCATCATTCATAGGGTCACTGGTAGCCATCCTAAAGATGCTAACAAGGGAGTAACATGATCAGCTTATAGCATTCATTATCATCCTTGCAGCAGCATTTTGTACCAGCTGCATATTGCGAGCAACATATGTTTGGCATATGTTTCAAATACATTTTAGTATATTCATTGTTCACTCAGGGCATAGTGAGGAGAAGTGTGTTTTTACTTTTTTAAGTGATCAGATGTGTGATTTTTTAGCTGGCGGACAATATAACAAAAAATAAAATTATATTGAAGGAGCACTCCAAGCCATACTTATGAAGGACAATATAGACATAGACTTGAAGCTGGGCTCATCTGATTAGAAATCCCCAAGAAACATAGCATAGCAGCACAGTAACACACACATATAAATGTTGTAGAATCCATCTTGAATCTAAATCGAAATATTTTGTTTTTTTAGACTCAGATGGGAAGCTGATCAGAGGGACACAGCTGGTCAAGTAAAAATTGTTTTGTGTGCTATGTAACAAGTCTCTGAACCGTATAAGTAATTTTGACTGTCTGTATTTGTTCCTGACTTTATTCTTGTCTTCACCTGTCAGATTTGTGATTTATCTGTTTGGTTTCTGTTTGTCCATCACTATGTCTGAACCCAGTAATCCTCCAGTGAATGTTTCCCAGACTCCCTCTCCCTCTGTGAAGAAAAGGAAAGTTTCACTGCTGTTTGACCACATGGAACCAGATGAGATGGCTGAACACCTCAGCTACCTGGAGTTCAAAAACTTCTGCAACGTCTCAGTAAGTCACTCACCCCGAAGGCTCATGACGGTTTCACTCACATACTCTGACCAGATGTTGCTAGTGCAAACTGAGTTTATCTGATGGCCCAACCTCAGTATAGCGCTGTAGTGACGGCACAGCCTCATACCGCTGAAGCTGACTAATAAAACAACCATGATCACACCCTTTGTACTCATACCTGGACGTGTTGGTTCATATCAGGATCATTATGTCTTGCTGATCACATTCGTGAGTGCTTAGCACATCTGGATTTCAGATTCAGCAGTGCCTGTTGTTGTTATGTGTCACCTTAGTTTCTGGACTACCACAGTTACGTGGTCCATGGCTCTGTGAGGAATAATCCGGCGCTCGAGCGCTCTGTCATGCTCTGCAACGGAGTCTCCCAGTGGGTTCAGCTCATGATCCTCAACAAACACACCTCACAGCAGCGAGCAGAGGTCTTCACCAAGTTCATTCATGTAGCACAGGTAATTACAAATGCACACACGCTCAACCAAGCACATTGGTAGCATTCAGGAAATACAAATAACCAAATTACATTTAGTTTCTCCTGAGAAATTCATTTATAGTAATGCAATATAATCGTTTCAAAACACCTACAATGAGCTCAGAGGTTGTTAAATACTGGTGTATGTTTCTGTGGAAAATATTGTCGATCAGCCAATTTCTCAATGACAAACTACACTACTCATAACAACCCCCCCCCTTCAAAAAAACCCCCAATGTGCTGCCAAATGATTAATCGTGATTAATCGCATCAAAAATAAAGTTTTTGTTTACATAATATATGTATGTGTACTGTGTATATTTATTATGTATACATAAATACACACACATACAGTATATATTTTGAAAATATTTACATGTACGTATATACATTTATATATATACATATTTTTATATTTTATATTATATATAAATATATTTAATATATAAACAGCATATATTTCTTAAATATATACAGGTGCATCTCAATAAATTAGAATGTCGTGGAAAAGTTCATTTATTTCAGTAATTCAACTCAAATTGTGAAACTTGTGTATTAAATAAATTCAA